ACGATGTACTAACTCGATATCTTCAGATTTATTTGTTTGAGATTTAATCTACACACGATGGAATAAAAATCGAATTTATTTCCATGTATTATAATGTCAGTATATTGTAAGTTCTTATGATTAATTGTAAAATTTAATACTGTAAAATAATTGTAATAAAATCACCTTTTCTTCATCATGTAAATTATATTCAGATACAATTTAAAAATTAAGTAAAATAATAAATATTCTTTATTAGAACTTTAACAGTAGAACCTCTGTAAGCCGAACCTCAAGTTTTTAAATCTTTTTGTGACGCAGTGTCGGCAGATTATCCATGTTGCAAAATAATACCGTGTGTAGCAGTCTTAAGAAAAATAACACGTACAGCCATGCTTTCACGTCAGTCACTGCCGGCGGACAGCGACGCACTAGCTAATTGGTTGAATACATCCCCGCCCCGCGTCCCCCAAACCATCAGGAGGGCCAAGCTTACGGCGGTTTAACTATAGAAAGACCTTAGAATTCATGTTTAATTATATTTAGCGTTATCTTTAGTCACTACCGTACGGATTTATGTACCACTCTTGATAAAACCTTGGAATACATCTTTAATTGTAATTAATATTGTTATTTGGTATAAATGTTATGAAATAAAACCACGATAATGTAAAAACAACTTCAGCATTGCTGACGTCACTCTTTCTAAAAACAACCGAGACACCGGTCCTCCGTCATATACAATTACCACTTCTTTAGCAACAGCAAAACAGTAGTTGGATGTGTGTTTAGAGGTTTCATCAATCCTCATCAACAGCCTTTACCTACTAGTCCACTGCTGGACATAAGCCTCTCCTTAGAAAGTAGGTTTTGGCCTACTACACCAGACCAGACGATACTGGCCAGACGGATTGGTATAGGGTTTGTGTCAAGTTTTCCTTCTCTCTGTAGTGCTGTTGTCTTTTGTAGTTTGCTCCCTTAGTCGTCTTTTACGACACCCACGGGATGAATAGGGGTGGTGACACTCTGTATTCTTAATCCGTCACCACACGGACAGAGGTTTAGAGGTTTACTGTCGTGTTATTTATTGTTAATGATAGAAAAGTGCTACCAGTGAGGAAATATCGGTCGGCGTACACGTAAAGCAATTGGAGTTCACAATCTTCGAGACAATGAGACTGAAGAAGGGCGTAGCGCTTAGAGAACAACAAAGCAGACGATCAATCGTAACAATACATATGAACATTTGGCGTTTAGATATACCTAATACAACAGTCGATTACGCCGGCGATAAATCGGTTGATTTTGCAACAATAAGCACTACTTGTCAATATTGTAATGCTTTGAGGTTTCGACTCGAACCGCCAGAATTATGTTGTGTGAATGGAAAGGTCAAATTACCACCTGAACTAAAATTCATTAGGTACTTTCAGCCTACGAACCTCTATCAAAGTATTTCCTGCAGAATATTAAAAGTTACAAATGACATCATTTGGTGCAAATATAATTGAAGAACCTGGTTTCAATCCAACTTTCAAGGAATGTTTTTTTACTATGTGACACACATTATGCACATCCATTGCAACATAAACCAACATATATGATAATTCTATTGAGTCTCATTAATGAAGATTTCTTTAAATATTTCCTTATGTACAATATTACAAATTCAAGGACAAATTCACCATCGTGCAGGAGCATTGTTGCCATCAGTTGATGATGATTACAAATCTCTTCAAATTTATTTCCCGGGTAATTCTGAAGATGAAGTAAACCAACGCTGTGCTATCGATCGGTAAAGTGGAAGAGAGATCATCCAAGTCAAGTAAGACTTGAGCAAAATCAGTTTAGTGCAGGGCGCCTTGCATTTGCAATGATTGTTAATAAATCCCAAGGCCACTCCTTAGAAAACTGTGGAATAAACCTTTATTTGCCGTGTTTTTCTCATGAGCAGTTGTACGTTGAGTGCTCGATTGTCGGCTAACCATCGGCACTGTTTGTTTTCTCTCCAAAAGGAAATATGAAAAATTGTACCTACATTACAAAACATTACAATAAGTTAAGGTCAAATTTTATTTTTACAATTTTATTTTATTACATGGTCGTATTGTAAACGGAAGATTTTGTCTCAGTTTTTGTCGTTAAGCACGTGTAACATTTCCGGTACTTTTTAATTTTCACTTATTCGAATTTACCGGAAGTGTGACATTTCCTTAGACCGCGACTGTTCACCGCCCGTGTGATGCCGAGGTATAAATAGTAAAACAAGTTTTTCAGGAATTTCGAAAATATTCACGAAAACAAAAAAATGGCGGTACGAAGTTCGCCGGTTCAGCAAATTAAAAACAATGCTATTGCTTAATTATAAGTTTAATTATTACATTTTTATTGTAACTTCATTTAATTTAGTACAATTAGATTGGCAACATTCTCACCTCGCAGCTAATGTATCTAAACCGATGTTTACTCGTGGACAGAAACGTGGGTATTTATCATGTAACTGTTTAGTCCCAAATAGATAAAATAAAATATTCACCAGTCTCTTAGAGTAAAATGTTCAAGCTTCTCCCTAACAAACAATTTAAGTATGCAAAGGCTCAAATAAAAGAATTCGTTCTAACGAGCGGTTTAGACCGAAACAAATCTCCTACTTCAATTATCACCGGAGATATGATGAAAGAAGGCTTGAAAACAAAAAATGTAAAGGGCGAACTCGCGTTAGGGTATAACTTGAGAAGGGTAAAAGTTAGGTGATGATGCAGACATGCCTTTAATTATAAAATTACTAAAACGTAAAATAAAATGGCCCAACGAACTCTGAATAGGTTGGAATTTTTTAACATAAAGACTTTCATAATGGTGCTATTAGAACATTCCTGTGTAATAATGTTGTCTGTGCTATGGTTTAATTACACCCAGACTCAGAACAAATGATCGTGTCCATCGTTTGTCCCGCATGGGCAACGAACCCACAATCTCCGGCTTAGTAGCCAGGGTCACTAACCACTAGACAAACAGGTCTGTCATAAGATATACTTCCATGATACTTCCATATTTGTATTATAAATATGGAAAAGCTTGTTTATTTGTTACGCTTTCACGCCTAAACCACTATAACCTACTTTTTACAACGACAACCGACATACACGTGCAAGCGAGGAATAAATAGCGGCGGTAGCCTAGTGGTTAAGGCATTGGACTTGCGATCAAGAGGTCGTAGGATCGAATCCTGACAAGTACACTTCCGACGTGAACACACTCCTAAACAAGCAATTTAGCTTAGCTGGAGGGGTTATCGGGAATACTAGTAATTTCGGTTGTTAGTAAGCCTTTAAAAAGAAAAATATATATTTATATATTCACATCACACATCAACAGCATTTAATAGTCCACTGCTGAACATAGGCCTCTTCTTAGAAAGGAGGTTTTGGCCTACTATACCACGCTGGCCTGACGGGTTGGTATAGGGTTTGTGTCAAGTTTTCCTTCTCTCTGCAGTTATTCATTAAAATGTTTCATGTTTAATATAGGTCTTGATCAAGCATTCAGTGTCCAAATGATTGATCAAGGCCTACATTGTATCGCTTTTAAAATAACTCATCGTTACAAAACCTTTAAATTACAAATAGGTAGTTGTTTTCTATCCTACTTTTACTGCCCTTGGATCTACTTGCCCTAATCTATGGATTTTGAATTTCAACATTTTAATCATGAAATTCATTTCAAATATTAAAAAAAAAAAATGATTGACTGAAAATGTTATTTTATCTAATCTTATAGTTAATAAGATAAGATACAATAAAGAATATTATTGTATCAATATTTCGCCATCAAAATGTAAACTATGTAAATTCACGTTTAAATTTTATTATTTTTCTACGTATTGTAGAATTCTATTAGCCGGCCCAATCTACCTTACCTTCCTCTTGAAGTACGTATAAATTGCACTGACTGCACGGAAGGCGTAGTGGTTTAAGCGGTCACCTTGCCGTTTCCTACTGCGCTGAGTGTTGTGGGTTCGATCTCCACATGGGACAATACTTTGTGTGATCCTCAAATTGTTGTTCTCAGTCTGGGTGTCCTTTGTCTCCGTTTCATGTATGTTTGTAAAGTGACCCGCGACGAAGGATTTATTCCTAGTGCGGGGGTTGTTTTTTATAAAAAAGAAAAAATAACTTAAATGAAATTACGAAATCACACTCCTTTTAGCAAATAAGATAAATTTTACAACTGTATATTTAATATGTATTTATGTAACAATATCTGTTTTGGTTTAGATTTCAATTTTTTCTCAACATTACATGATGAAGCTAATCTCTAATAAAGAGGTCGGAAACAACCTTCCTCCGTCTCTAGAACTTCAACCTTCCTTCTTCAGTACACTTCCCTCACTCCTCCAAATACCCACAACCTGGAACCACAACCAAGAGTCCTCACAAAACACAACCGAAGCAGGCGTACAGCAGGTGTTCACAAGTGACAAGTGCTCGAGATTTTTTCCGCGCCAAATAGTCCCGCGCGAAAAGTCGATGATACTTTATTTTAAATATTTTTCCCTTTGATTATTTTTCATCCAATTATGTTAACAAGTCACATAAGTTTAGAACTAATTCAGATTCTATGAAGCAGTCACAATTAGATTAATTGTCGTTATATAACTAGTTTCATTATTTTATAAAATGTAACTTTTGCTATTGGTTTATTTGATAAAATTATTATTGTTTAAAAAGTGGTTCAATTGAACCTATTTTCCCCTTTTCACGTAATGACAGAACTTTGTATCTGTTACGTATAAACCTGTTGAAACATCCGCTTATCGCTGAGGTCCCGTTCCCTCTCATTCGCATATCGGCAAGCAAACGAACAGGTCATAAAATATTTATTTACTTTAAACTTAATACTTATGTGTTAACCATTAGTTATATATTCAATTTGTCTATAATATTTTATTTGGATATTAAATAAATATTTGAATAAAATCTATTTTAACATTTGTATATGCGCAGTGAACCTCCCTCAAAATGGTTAAAGTAAAAGTGCAGCAGGGCTGGTTGTGCGGTGAACAGCTGGACACGGTACAAGGTGATGGCCAATATTACAGCTTCAAGGGCATTCCTTACGCTGAACCGCCTTTGGGCAAGCTAAGATTTAAGGTGAGGACCCCAGGATCTCATAACTATTCATATCTATAACATGTATGTATGTAAAAATTCATAAGTATTATTATTGTGGCCGGTTGATAGCGATAAGCTTTTTTCCTTTTATTATAAGTGGCACTAAAATTACAGTCGACAAAATGTTGACCCTTCGACGATAAGTACATTAGTATATGTATACTATGTACATATGTGTGTATGATGATATTTTTATTGTATAAAATAGAGTGGTATTGTTATCGAAACCAATAAACAGTAAAGTATATTATTATGATAACGTGTGTCAGGGACAATTTTTTGATATCATTATGGAAGTCTTTGGTTGATTCTACTTTTAAATTTAACAAAATCATCGCACATCGGAACTTTCTCTGACTTTATGTTAACCAAAGAAATGTTCTTGATTACACATGAATGACTCCACACATGAATAAAGATGCGATCTTACGGTGTTTTTTGGAACGAAGTTCCTTATCGCGCGTTGTGAAAGGGGGCTAGACGGAAAAAAATCTTACGAAAATTGGTCACGACACTTTTTATTTTGAATTGTCACTTGTCAGTCATTCAGCGCCATCTATTGAATAGTAAAATTAAAATTTATGTTCTTAGGTTGAGCAAAAAATATTGTATTCGACATCATTTCTCAAGGAGATTTTACCAATGTATAAATTGTTTTAATTAGAAACCAACTGAAAAATATGTAGGTAATAGCCGCTTTCATAGATGGCGTTGTAATTAAAATCGTGTCTAATCAGTTTTACTCGATCGTAACAACTTCGTTCCTATCGGGTGTCCCACGACACCACACGGCTTTTTTTTTAAATCGGTTATTTCCATTCTTAGTTCATCGTCTACATAGTATAATAACTCAGCTAACTAACTAGATAGTTAAAGAACTCGCACTTAACAGCTAATTCGAGTGTACGACCCTGCTCGATTTAAACTCCCCAATCCATCGGTACAAACAACATCGCTTTCCTGCCTCTAACTTCTCTGACTTTATGTTAACTAAAGAAATTTTCTTGATTACACATGAAAGTCTCCACACATGAATAAAGTTGCGATCTTACGGTTATTTACATTCTTAGTTCATCGGTATGCGAATCTGCTCGGTTCAAAACTCCCCACTCCATCCGTACCAGCACCATCGCTTTCCTACCTCTGACTTCTCCTCTTGTCTACCTATCCGTTAATTGTTTCAAATTTCCCCGTTTTTTTTTTCCGTGCTGAAATCCCCTCGGATACCACTTGTCGGTGGCAGGTCGGACTCGAACCGACTAAAACCGCACGCCGTCTCGGGTACTAATAGCCGGGGAACCAGGTATACCCTAGAAAGGAAGTCCCTGGTGCCCCGACATACCTCGGGTCATCTACAGACGAGTAGACGACCCCCCCCCCCCCCCCCGTGTGGGAACCCCATGTTCCCTGTGCTCCCTGGAAGCGAGCGAGCTTCGCAACGCGCTCGCCGCCATCCCGGCCTGCTTCTGCTAGGGTGACAGATGGCCTCACCTGTCACCCCCAGGCCTGCGCTTATGGAGGACGGAGGTCGTTCTGCGACCTCCAGCTCCTGAGTCGCCTGCGGTACCTGGCCCGTTCCCGGGCCTGGCGGGCCGGGAGAGTCCTTCAAATTTGGGTCGACGATCAACCTCTATTAGGTGGGTAGGAGCAACATTTTACATGGTAAAGACACTCCCCATTTTTGCTAACTATAATTTTGGTTCCACTTAATAAGCCTCTTGGTTTCCATTCGGTTTCACTGTTATTACAAATCCATGTAGTATATTCATTCCAAATAACTACACTCGTAGTCATCTTATAAAGTGCCAAATATAAAAAAGTAAATTCAATAACCTGATTGATGATATACTTATTAAGTTTAAAAACTTTTTTTTCTTTATTTAAGGTCGCTCCAACATCTAAGGTCATTCGTGCGGCCTCTGTAGATTTACAATATTAAATTTAATTATAGTAATTTATAAATATTTATAAATATACATAAAAAAAGTAATTACTTATAAGAATATTACAGTCTTTTTTACATTGTTCAAACAATATTTTTTAATTCTTAGTTACTTCTAATCTTTCCTTATTTTACCTGTGACATTCAATTAGTATAGCCTGATATTTAAGTCCCTATCATATCTTGAACATTTCTTCTTAGCTTCCTTAGTAATAAGATGTATATGAGGTACATTACAATGTCCACCTGTCTATTTAAAACTATTTGATCTTTTCTGTAATCTGTCGGTAAATTGCGTTTTTCAAAAACTGTGTTCCTCATCATCAACAGCCTTTAACAGTCCACTGCTGTACATAGGCCTCTTCTTAGAAACGAGGTTTTCGGCTACTATTTTTTAAATTTCCCTTCTCTTTGCAGTGCTGTTGTCCTGTGTTGTTTTGCGCCCTTAGTTGATGGATGAACTGGGGTGGTGACACTCCGTATTCTTAATCCGTCACCACACGTCACACACCTTATCTCATACAAAACACTATTATTATCTTTTACCTAATAGGTGTTCCATAGCATTTTTATTTTCAGTTTAAGGTAATTTTTTTTTGATCTTGAATTTTAGAAGTAATGTTATTACAATCATTAAGTTTTGTGGCTTCTTTAGCTTCTATGTCTACCCTTTCGTTACCGGGAATACTTTTATGCAGATAATCATAAATTCAGTCATTGTTTCGGAAAATTTAAAACCGGTATGTTTACACCATTCAATAAGTTTATCCAAGGTGTATTCTAAGAGTCTCTCTGTTGGTTTAAGAGTATTGCCTACACAATATCGTCAAATCATCTGCAAACAAGCAACCTTTCATAGGTCTCTCTATAACTGCTAAAACATCATTTATAGCTATCAAAAACAGGATGACACTCAAAACCGATCCCTGAGGTAGTCTATTTTCCGTGTGGACGCTCCACAGATATCGATATCCCCACAGATAGTCAAAAAGTTTTTAATAAAGGCAAACATGTTACCTTTTACATTGAACTGTTCTAAGATCAAAATGACCTATGTTAAAACACCATTTCATTGGCTTTTCCCAAATCCAGAGAAACCGCTACTACTTTATTGATCCGACGTGATTTTCCACCTAGTCAACTACTTGTCAACGCGTTTCAGCGGTTTTCCCCGGTTTTGGTATAGGTATAATAATAGCCTCTCGTCACTGATCAGCGAACACTTAATAAAACCAGATATAGTTCTGAATGTCTATGAGTCGTTCAAGAGCTAAGCTAGAGAGGTTTTTGATATGGTATATTAAATACTAGCTGACCCGCACAACTTCGTCTGCGTCTCTCAATAGTAATAAATTCTCTCCGTTTTTTAAACATTCTTCATTGGTGCTCCGCTCCTATTGGTCTTAGCGTGATCATATATAGCCTATAGCCTTCCTCGATAAATGGGCTATCTGAAGATAGAACACTGAAAGAATTTTTCAAATCGGACCAGTAGTTCCTGAGAATAGCGCGTTCAAACAAACAAACAAACAATCAAATTCTTCAGCTTTAAAATATGAGTATAGATTGTCAGGGCCCGAACAAGAATCGCCTAATTGGTGTATTATTAAACGAAGTTCGTGTAGTGTAAACATTTTATTCAGTTTCTAATATCAATATTATCTTTTAAGTTGAATGCGGTGTCCGCTCCTTCTATTTGATTCTTATATTGTAGAAAGTCTTTGTCATAATTATTGGAGCTATAGTTCGCAGCAAAAGCTGTCACTAATAAATCAGAGTTTATTTTTGGATCAGTACTTAAAGCTCCTTGATTTTTTTTTTAATTATCGTTTGCTTTTTCCTTCTTTGTCCATTAATTTAATTAATTTTCTGCCATATGATTCCAATCGGAGTACAACTATTAATAGATTTTACGAACTTTTCCCAGTTCGCCTTCCTGCTTTCTTTAAATATTCTTCTCTATAGTTCTAGCTCTATTTTTCTTTTGTATTCTATCTTCAATAATTCTAGATTACGTAGATCTTCTTCGTTAATATATTGGCTGTCTTAATTTGTCTGTTTTCTCTTTTCTCTTGTAAATACTCTGTAGGCTTTTTTGTTTCTTGTGAGTGATTTAGAACATTCTTCATTCCACCATGGGACTTGTTTTTTTTTTTAATATTCATGTTTGTTTGGCAGAGCCGATTATCATTTGATTATATTCGCTAACTATTTTATTTATACATATATGAGAGGACAGGTTTAATTTATCTAACTCCTTAATCTTGTGGTCGATGTCTAAACGTAAGTTGGGCCAATCTGCACATTGATACTTCCAATATTTGACTGCGCGGATGGCGTAGTGGTTTAAGCGGTCGCCACGCCACTTACTACTACGCTGAGTGTTATGGGTTCGATCCCCACATGGGACGACACTTTGTGTGATCCACAAATTGTTGTTCTAGTTCTGGGTGTTCTTTGTGTCCATTTCATGTATGTTTGTAATGTCCCCCACGACACATAATATATTCCTAACACGGGAATTGTCTTTAAAAAATAATAATTGGAAAAACAAATTTTGAGTAAAATCAATTCTTGATGTAATGGTGATAGGAAAATGGTCACTGTTGTAGAGGTCATCCAATGCATTCCAGTTGAAATAAGTTGATATACTTCGAGAAGCAAAAGCTAAATCTATACAACTGGTATGACCATTACTTCTATTGAAGTGAGTAGGTTGATGTGAATTAAGGATGATAAAATTGTTACGTAAATCTAACAAATCAGCTATAATTATACCTCTCTGATCGCAGTGATTCGAACTCCAATTAAAATGATGACTATTAAAGTCTCCCAGTAACACGAAGGGCGTTAAATAAGTCATTCAAATCATTTTCACTAAAGCAACAGCTATTGGGTGAATATATATTACAGATATATAAAGTTTCGAGGAATTTAATTTTTACAGCTATTACTTCTAAGGAGCTATTGACAATAATAAGTTCCAGGAAGTGTGTGAGGCTTCACGTAAGTAGCTACACCACCACTAGCTATAGTGCTGTGTGCTGTTTTTACACGCTTTATATAAGCTTCACTTGTATGTTTGTATGTTTGTTTGTAACCGACTCCTTTGGACGTGATTTTGACTGACTTTAAACGGTCAGAATTCGTTCAAACTTTGTAGATATATCGAGGACCAATGACAATACACTAATTTAAAAAAATATATAATAATAGTTTTAAAAAACAAAAAAAGCGTGTTTTTTTTTACTATTGACAACAGGTACCCAGCGCTTATTTTCAAATTCATTAAAATTTATTTTCAATTCTTTAATTTGGTTTTCTATAAAAAGCGTGTTTTTAGTTTTTTAAAACTATTATTAGCACAATAATTATTTTAATAATTTATTTAAAATTCGTTTATTGTTTCGTTTAGTTATATTTAGAATTATTTTTATGCATTAAAATCGGGCGTTGAAACCATTAACATTCCACTGCAAAATGTTCATTACGAATATAACTGGTTCAAATAAATATACAATAATTAACATTAGAGGGAAATAAAAGGATACTTAATAAATATAAAAAAAAGAAAATTAAAGGTTGTTTACTTGTTGACTCTTTCTTTGAAATGTCTTGTATGGGGTCTACCAATAAGAACGTCCTGGTTTAAAAATTGAATAAAACACACATTTTTTTATCAAAAATGCATCCGATTGATTTATTTGATAGATAATTTTGTGCAATTTATGATTTAAATAATATATCGGCCAAATGACCGCCGCGGGTCGCATAACTTGCGGTGGCGGTACTTGTTAATTTTTCCATGATGGTTTAGGGAGCTTATAATAGTAACCGCACTAATAATCAGAACGTTTAAACACTAAACATACTGTTTACTAAATAATTACTCGCGACGACTCGGTGCATTTATCGGAATGCGATAAGACGCGTGGACCGGACAGCGGTCGATGGGTAACCTTTGGTAACTTTGTTTATATGTAAAATTTAAATAGGCAAAGTGAACAAAAAGAATCTCCAGAAAGCACCGACTGATTTGATCAGCGATGTTGTTTATTTTTTCCTTCTCAAAATCCTCATTCAGTGCCATGAATACTGCGATAATACTATTTGCATTTTAAGTATTTCGACGTCATTTATTCCGTGAGATCAAAATTTTATATGAACATCCTTCTTGTTTACCAAACCTTAGCTGTTACTTTTTTCATCTTAAAATTACCAGCCATTAATGATATTTTGCACCAGAGTTAATAAACTCCCAGAGTAATAGATAAAGAACACGGTGTCACTCTATTCATCCCATGGGTGTCGTAAGAGCCAACTAAGAGAACGAACTACGCAGGATAACAGCAAAGAGAAGAAAACTTGACACAAACCCGACTGGCCAGCGTGGTATAGTAGGCCAAAACCTCCTTCCTAAGAAGATGCCTGTATCCAGCAGTGGACTATTAGAGGCTGTTGATGATGATGATGATGATGTACATGATTATAGATATGTTGTTGACTGACTGAATACCACTTGAATAATATTTGGACCAAGAAGAACAAAATTCTGACACAAAAATGCGAAAGACCTTCAGTTTGCGAAAGAGAACAGGTTATACAGGTTGAGAGCTTCAGGATTTGGGTATATCATCAAAAATTGTTTGTAAGCTTGACTACCATTTAATTGGCATAAATTGTAATATTGGGCATTGTTTAATTTTAATATACCTATACTCGTATATAGTTCAAAATTAGCCAAGTTAACATTTATTACACGCTTTATATTAGCTTTACTTATATGTTTGATTGTAACCGACTCCTTTGGGCGTGATTTTGACTGACTTTAAATGGTCAGAATTCGTTCAAACTTTGTAGATATATCGAGGACCGATGACAATGATGACAATACAGTAATTAAAAAAATATACAAAAGAAAATAATAGTTTAAAAAGAAGTTAAAAAGAATAGTTAGGAAAAAAGCGTGGGGTGCTTTTTATTATTGACAACAGGCACCCAATGCTTTTTTTTTTTGGATTACTTCTAAGATGACTAATAAACATACGAGTATCTTCATAGCACTTCCTGATAATTCAACATGATTTAGGAGCATTGTAGTCGGTAATGGTTTTTAAAGTTAATTTATAATACACTACAAAGCAACGCTTTTATTTACAAAAACAATTGTGAGGTAGTACAATAAGGAAGTGAAGACATAGCTTAGTTTTTACTATAAACTGGTTTTATTGTTGTGACTGACCTTGGATGACTTTGATAGTCTTTTTTTAAATATAATTTCTCATACATCACATACACGGCCGTCTGATCTCAAACCAGGCAGAGCCTGTACTATGGTAACCAGACTGCTGAAAAACATACTTATATATATTTTTAAATAGATATATATTATAGATAAGTTACACCCAGTCACAGAACAAATGACTCTGCTCATCACACAATATTTGTCCTGGGTGGGAATCGACCTCCGGTTTACCAGTCAGAGTCACTAGAACAACAGTCCCGTCGTAACTCATTTTAACTCTAATCCTGTGTCTATTCCACAGAATTATTTTTAGGTGCAACTACTAGCAACCCAGAATGCAGTACAAAATCAAATAGCTAGTGTTTTTAATTGAGATTGTTTTCAGGCTCCAAGACCACCATTGCCTTGGAACGATACAAGACAAGCTACGGAACATGGTCCAAAATGTCCACAAATGGACTTCCTGATTACTCAAGAACTCATTCCTGGTAGTGAAGATTGCCTCTATCTTAACGTTTACACACCAGACTTAAAACCAGTATCCCCCTTAGCCGTCATGGTTTTTATTCACGGAGGTGGCTATAAAAGTGGGGCTGGTGACTTAGACCACTATGGACCTGACTTTCTCGTCAGTCACGGAGTAGTGCTTGTTACTATTAACTACAGACTAGAAGCGCTAGGTTTTCTATGCCTAGACACCAAAGAAGTCCCAGGAAATGCTGGTTTAAAAGATCAAGTGGCCGCACTAAAATGGGTAAAAGCAAATATAGTTAACTTTGGAGGAGATCCTGAAAACATAACAGTTTTTGGTGAAAGTGCCGGAGGAGCTTCCACGTCGTTGCATATTTTATCTCCTATGTCTAAAGGTCTTTTTAAAAGAGCCATCCCGATGAGCGGCGTACCTTTTTGTGATTGGTCTATTCATTTTGCAGCACAGAAACGAGCATTTATACTCGGAAAAGAACTAGGCTTAGAGACTAATGACCCAAATGTTCTGCTAGAGTTTCTACAAAATGTCCCAGTAGAACAACTAATCGATGTTAACCCTACAATATTGTCTTTTGAAGATTTTAATAATAATCCATTTAAAATGTTTTCTTTTACGCCGGTTGTCGAAAAAGATTTTGGTGAAGAACATTTTATTACAGAAAACCCTTTAAAAATATTGAAAGACGGAAAAATAAATGATGTAGACGTCTTCATTGGTCACACTAACAACGAAACATTGGTGGGAATTAACTACTTTGAAGAAAAACTGTTGAAAAACTATAACAGATATCCAGACTGTGTAGTGCCCCGGAAACTGTTATATGAATGTACTGCAGATCAGATATTACACCTATCGGAAAAGATTCATCTTTATTACTTTAATGGAAAGCCCATCGGTATTGACACTATGAAAGAGCTTATAACGTATGGCAACCATACTTCTTTTGTGTACGATATCAACCTGTTTCTATCAAAGTTAGCGGAAGTTAGTAAAAGTCGAAAATACATGTACACATTTTCATGTGTTTCGGAAAGAAATGTATACGGCAAGCAAGGTTTAAAGTATGGTATCCAAGGCGCATCCCATTTGGATGATTTGATGTATTTATTTTATGCAAACTTACACAATGTGAAGTTAGAGAAGAATACTAAAGAATATGATCTGGTTCAACTAGTTTGTAAAGTTTTTACCAACTTTGCCAAGTATGGGTGAGTTAAAAACAACTAATTGTTTTAAAGTAATTGAATAACCTTAACAAATGTACATAGTAATCTTGCATAATGCAGCTGAAAATTTGGTATGTAGCTATAAAACGATTATAGAATCAGGGGGATACAAACACCGTCTCCTTCTGCGAGCAAGTTATGCTCGCGAAGGAGACGGCGGAGCGGGGCCTCGAGAGGTTAAGAACTCTCCCGGAACGCCAGGCCCGGGAACGGGCCAGGCATCGCAGGCGACTCAGGCGCAGGCGGTCGCAGAACGACCTCCGTCCTCCATAAGCGCAGGCCTGGGGGTGACAGGTGAGGCCATCTGTCACCCTAGCAGAAGCAGGCCGAGGTGGCAGCGAGCGCGTTGCGAGGCGGAGGAGGTCTATTAGCACCCGAGACGGGGTGCGGTTTTAGTCGGTTCGAGTGCCACCGATAGGTGGTATCCGAGGGGATTTCCGCACGGAAAAAAAAGGGGGGATACAAACATTATGCTCAACTATTTACGAAAGGTAGAAACAGCTAACCTGGAGCAATATCTAATTTTGCAGATCGCCCTTTAGTCCAAGAGTTCTTTCTTTCTTTTAATAAAGACAACTCCCGCATATGAAACATATCCTGTATCGCGGGGGACTTTACAAACATACATGAAATGGACACAAAGAACATCCAAAATTAGAACAACAATTTTGTAGATCACATAAATTTAAAATAGATATTAATGGCAACAGGTATATTTTGATAAAGATAAAAAAACCAATACCATTAGAAAAGTTTCAATAGCTCAACTTTATAGCACATGGCATTAGAAATTAACCAAAAGAAATATTTACTGCAGCTAGATTCTAACGACAAGCCTAGAATAGATACAATATTCGTGTGGTGACGAATTAAGAATACGGGGTGTTACCCTCCTATTCATCCCGTTGGTGACATAAGAGCCAACTAAGGGATCAAACTATACAGGACAACAAGCACTGCAAAGAGAAGGAAAACTTGATACTAACCCGTCTGGCCAGGGTGATGTAGTAGCCCAAAACCTCCTTCCTAATGAGATATGAGCCTATGTCCAGCAGTGGACTATTAAAGGCTGTTGATGTGATGTAAACTGATACAATCTTTTAAATATACCTTATTTCTAAACTTATTTCTTAACATAAACGTAATAATAATCATGCTTACAGAAATCCAACGCCGGACTCTTCACTTGGAGTGACTTGGCCAGAATATGACAACACTACAAAATCATTCGTGGATATAGGAGATAAACTCACTATTGGCGCTGACTCAGAAAAAGAAGCCATTGAGTTTTGGAGGAACCTATACGCTTCCGTAGGATCGGAATATGCGATTTAATGAAACGATAAATGAAAACTCATCACATTGCAAATAAAATGCATGATAATTATATAATTTGTTAAACAGGATTGTAAAATCTTTAGGTAAAGGTCTCTTACAAAATGAATATGAATAAAATATTTCCTCCGACTATACTTTCAGCTGTCCAGAGTTTAGCGAGGCTGGTAATCTGTAATACAGGTCTCTTAGTGCAGATGCCAATCTCCCACACAGAATGTTTCACATATGCTGTAACTATTTAATTATATTATGATTCTAAGCTGTATGGGAGAAAACAATAAAGTTCTTTGTATTTTAGCTCATAAATACCTTGGTTTTGGTAATTAAATTTACTGATTGATATTGTTTTGTGAATTTCGTAACTTATACAAATTAGTTTATCATTGTTAGTTTGAAGATAATAACAGCCGTAAGTTTGTAGTTTGCCAGCTTTGTTCTCACTGTTATTTGAAACCAGGCGTTTTTACATTGATAGAGGCAGACAACGTATTATTTATTTGATTGGCATTCTTTCTTCAATCTGTGAAGAAAACTATCGTGTGCGGTATTCCCGGACCGACACGACCTTCAAGAAAAGAGGGTACTCCCTTTTCAAAGGATGGCAACGCGCTTGTGACAGTAGCAGTCGTTCTTGCGAGATGGCTGATGGAGATGGAAAGGGAGGCTAAATATTTTAGAAAAAAAGAGCTTATGTTTGTGGAAAAGTCTAATTTGAGAAGAGAGAGAAAAGAGAGAGAGAGAAATTTGCCGCCTCTACATGGGCGTCGTGCGATCCATGGCCCTCTATGTCCTACGCACCTGTCTGGTCTAATGACCTGGCGGGTGCTTCCCGCTGCAAGCCTCTACTTGGAAGCCTGTAGCGGTTGGTGACCATACGGATCATACAATCTCATTTGAGGCGCTTTATAAAAGTAATGAGGTAATTAAGCCATAACTAGTTGCATGGACAGTCTTTTGGAGACAAATGTTGACTACCTCCATTTTCAGTAAAATTTGGTTTAACCCTACGATCATTGTTAAGGTTGTGTTTTTTAATGGAAAAGGGGGTGAACGAGCAGACGGGTTCCCTGGTGGAAAGCGACTACCGCTGCGCATGAATGCCTGCTACTCAGTAGTATACGCTCTTTTCTTAAAGGTCGTATCGGTCCGGAAATACCGGTATTGTGTATAGTTTATAAAACCTGATGAAACCGAGTCTATTTCTGTAACAGTTGATGTCCAATTACCTCAGACCCACCTGCAGCATAAAATCCAATATAAATATTTCCCTCAAAATTCTAGAATTAATTGTAACTTGGACGAGGTTCACCTAAATCAAAATGATTTATAATTTTACTCAGGTAAAGTACTTCACGAACATGTCTGCGGAACCCTAATTTCCATACTAAGTGCGAGCGGTTGAAATGTTGAATTATTTGCGTGGATGTTTCCAACTGTTACTACAAATGTTCGAATCAGAAACTTGGATAATCTCCAGCAGTACGGCGCTTGATCCTCTGTTTAAATTAGCGGGTTTTATCATAATTTATTCTTGTTTTACTAGTGCCTACGCAATATGGAATAAAGACCGCATTGTCAGCTTCTGCCTGTTTATTATTATTACCTTTTTGGCAGAGGTCTAACCAACTTTAGATTATTTTACAGGAACACAGCACAGGAATACCACGTATTCCTAAATCTGATAGGAGATAATACATGTCCATAAAAAATGTAGAAATTTACACTTTTAACTTGAATTGTAATTATAGAATTTTAATGAACGCACATAGCAGAATAACGAATGCAGAAATTGTCTTTATTATATTATATTATATATCTGATTTTTCAAATAGGTAGGGATAATGGTTCTGTAAAAATGTTGCAATCTGAAATTCGCTCACAAACTTATAAATTGTCACTATCTTTTTAATATTATAATTTTTAAAAATGTTGTCCAAGCCAATCACGTTTAAGTCTTAGAATAAGCACAACGACAACACCCTGACCACGAGCTGACCACGATTGTGTATCAAAACTAAGCAGAGCTTGTGCTATGAAAACTAAATTGATTGATAGAACATTCTATTTTAAGACATTTCGTTATCTTAGTGTTTCCACAGTGTTTCCAGTGTCCACTTGTGTGTTTCTTTGTTTGATGTTTTTCTTATTTCGTAAGGGCAAACAAGCAGAAATGTCACCTGATGTTAACTGTTTACGAACACGTGCCCCCACAAACACGTGCAACTCAAGAGAGAGAGAGACAAGTGTGTTGAAGCACTTTGAGATCTCCACCAACCCCAAGAATTACGGGGCAGGGGGTAGGTACCGGTAACCTAACTCACTCAGTAAAAGGCAACGAAAGAATTATTGAAATACCGGTTTTTGTGAGGCTTTCAAATGAATTAAAAAAAAAGATTATTTTCTAAGAATAATAAGCTAAATATTTTAGAGAAATAATCTTATTTTTATGTTCAAATCTAATTTTTAAATTAAACAATTTAAAGTTAAAAAAACTGATATTTTTTTCTCTTAAAAAGACAACTCCCGCATTAGGAATAAATCCTGTGTCGCGGGGGACTTTACAAACATACACGAAACGTACACAGAGAACACGCAGACTCAGAACAATAATTTGTGGATTACACAAGGTGTCATTCCATGTGGGGATAGGACCCACAACACTCAGCGTAGTAGTAAGCGGCGAGGTGACCGCTTAAACCACTACGCCATCCGTGCAGTCTAGTTAATATTTTGTATGAGAGTAGGTTGCATGAAAGAAACTGGGAAACGCCAAGAATGTTAGAATGATAGAATGTACTTAAAAACAAAAGCAGTTAACCTGAAAATTTATAATGAATCTATTACTTAAAAACAGTCTTCTGTAAAACGCTGTATATTTATACAGAACGAAAATTAAGAAAAGATCCCTAATAACAGTTCGTTTTATGCGTAATCAACACAAAAGTTGCAAAAGCCACCACTCCAAATGTGTTGCAAAAACCGGTTCTGTTGCATCAAGTACGTGAAAGCAAGCATGTATAATCAAATAAGTTAGTCCGGTTTTGGACCACGAACGTACGCATGGTCACGTGAACTCAGGTGAAATTTATTTATAAATATATTAATGCTCATTTGAAAATCTGTCAGAAATATCAGTGCTTACTTAGAGGAAAACCGAATACATTAAATACATTGTTTGAGAGAGATTTCTTTATCGTGACTTTATGTTGGTGAATTGGTTAAAAGACTGAGCTATTCTTTATTAAAAATGATGTAAGTAAGCCTACTTCAGTATAGTTATTTTTAAAAGTAAAATAAAAGAATTATGAAAAAAATAGATTTTGTGTATGCATAGATAATAAACAACCCTTTCCGCAATACCAATAATTAAAATAATTCTTTTGGATAAACGTTTAATACTTATGTAATCAATTCGAATATAAAAATTTAACACATTAAAGTCTTTCTCTGTGCAGTGAAACCCCCTCCAAATGGTTAAAGTAAAAGTGCAGCAGGGCTGGTTGTGCGGTGAACAGCTGGACACGGTACAAGGTGATGGCCAATATTACAGCTTCAAAGGCATTCCTTACGCTGAACCGCCTTTGGGCAAGCTAAGATTTAAGGTGAGTTGCCCAGGATAGTTCATACATGCATAAAGGGAGTCGTTTTAAACCCACTTACATTATGAGCATGAGACAATTGACGTAAGCCGAATATTTCATGAATAAAATGGGTAAATTGGGTGTTCAATGTAAAAGAAAGTTTTGGTAAAAGGGGAAAGGAATTGTAGTAAAGGAATCTAATACTAATATTATAAATACGAAAGTTTGCCTGTCTGTCTGTTACCGCTTCTTGCTTAAACTGCTAAACCGATTTAAATGAAATTTAGTATTGAGATAGTTCGAGGCCCGGGAAAGGACGTAGAATAGTTTTTATCCCAGAAATTGGCCTTTAAATAGCTGAAAATAGGGTGGAAGTTTGTAGGGGGAATCAAGAACCGATTTAAATGAAATTTGGTATGAAGATAGTTTGATTGAGAAAGAAGGACATTGGCTACTTTTTACCGCGATAACCGCCATACACGCGGGCAGAGCCGCTGGCAAAAGCTAGTATTACTGTTACAATTTATATTTTCGATTGTCGGCACTGATGCTGGTCAGCTGGCACTAAGGCAAAACTGGTCAAGTTAAATTAAATAGTGGAATAAATTACAATTGAGTTTGATTTTATATTAAATATAACTTTTATGGAATTATTGGGGTGTGTAGGCAATAATTCAAATAGGTCAAGGTCATAATCGTCATCATCAACAGCCCTTAACAGTCCACTGCTGGCTACTCCTTAAAATGGAGGTTAGGTGTTAATAGGTTATGGTGTTAGGTTTATTGTCAAGGTCGCTTAGACGTAACTTGAAGTTAATTTTCCATCTGTGTGTATCTTAAACCCTTTTTTTCAGAAATACATTCACAAAAAATGTCTGATCTTAATTTAGGGGGTTTATCAGCCAATGATAAACATTTGATGTATACCAAGGTTGCCAAGAAGAGATTGCTTTTAGCAATAAGTCCGCAGTCCGTTTGTACATTATATGTCTGACAATTTTATGAAGTATTTTGTAAAACGGTATACAAATAAAGAGTTTCTAACTATCTATGGTACCGCGCTATCGTTAACATAATATTTGAGGTGAGATTAAATTCATTCAACACGATTTTCACTTACAGTACGAGCTTCGCTGTACATTGACCTTTGTCTACCTTTGTGTTGTAATACTCGTAGTTACTATTTTTGTTTAATGCGATACAATTTGACTGCCAAAACCCATATTTTTCTTGATTGTACCTTTTTCGTTTGCAAAAGTGAATTTATTGCTACGATCTCGGACATTTTCAGGATATCATTAATTAAACTACACCAATTAATTAAATTCATACGGTGAATCGGTGTCTATAATAACCACAGGTAGCGTTAAACAGTAATCTCAGTTTTATTTCTATGTATCAGAACATATTTTCTGATACATTCCCATTTTACGTGTTGAGATCCCATGCAGTTTAATTCTATAAATTTATTACGTTTAAATATGTTAGTCCAGCAAGTTCTAGAAGTCATTGTGATCGGTATTCCATATTTTTCAAGAAACTAAGTATAAGTGAAGTTGATTAAACCCAAGCAATTTACTTTGATGATGATTATTAAATTTACTTTTAAAACACTTTTGGCGTACTTTTAGACAGTACTTTAGTTCTATTATAGAATTGTTTAAACGGATAGCTTGGAATAAATTCCAATTATCTTGATAATGGAAATGTCTTCGGGATACCATGTGGTTTTCTTCTAACGGTAATAATAATAATAGTTTATTATTTCTTTCTCACATTAGAAAAATATTTGCTAGTATGTGAGAGACTCGCATCTGTATTAGGAGACCTGTATGTCGCATGTGCAGTACCAGAATGTCGACGGGCTAGTGTGAACATTGCTACCAGTTGACAGAATGGGTAAGCTTATAAAGAGACTGTGTGTATTAGTGTATGCGTGTATGTGTTTGTTTGTGTGTGTGTGTGTATGCGAGTGTATGTATATATGTGTGTGTGTATATGTATCCACCAAGTCAGGAAATAGTATGCAAAAGATTTTCAGCCTCGGCGTAACTAAGAAATTTCAGGCAGGTTGTGACCACCTTTTTACACTTGAAGCGTGTAAGGGAATAAATGCTGAGCTCTTTATTGATTTAGTTGTATAGGTAACCTCCTAGGAAACCAACCACCAGACATTTAGAGTGTCATAAGTGTTATGCTTTCGACGCTGGCTTGTAAAGGTAGTGGGGTCTTCAGAACGATCAATAAAACAAAGTTGCCTCACTGTCAGGACGTCGGTAAGCTGGTACAGGTGTTTAGTAGGAAAAAGATATGGCAAGCACCGACCAACCTTCAGTATTACTCTTTGCGCTCTCTCTAGTTTCATCAAGTTTTTTTAACATGCTCCGCCCTACACAGTAGGCTATAATCGATTGGCAGAGGGCCAGATAAATCATTTTGATGACCTGTGCGTCCGCTATGTGTCACAAGTTTTTAAATATAAACATTAATGTTCGCGTTCTGGAGGAAATAAGGTCCAGGTGGTGACTGAAATACAGCGAATCATCTAATACCACTCCCAGGTACTTAACTTTGGAGACTAAGTTTTTAAGTTACGTATGATGTTTCAAACTTCTACTTCGTCTGTGAGCATCAAGGTAAAAGAATAAGGCCATGAATCAATATCCATGATCCCATTCCAACAGTCAGAATCAAGGCTTTTATCAGCGAGACTGTTACCGATGGACACAAAGAACTGATATATCTGGTCTGCCGATGCCATTGAGTCAGAGGAAGACAGAAGGTCTGTAGCTGGGATGTGCTGTTTACTTGTGTGTGTTATTTGTTTCATGGCGTCCCATAGGGTTTTAGTATTACTATCAGCCGCATTACTTAATAATTTTGTTTCATAGTCTCGTTTTAGACGTTTCAACAGCTTGTTACAAAAATTTCTGTACCTTGTATACGTAACCTTAAGTATCTCGTTGTTCGGCTTTTTCTTTAATTTAATGTGAACGCTTGACACGGTTCTTTATACATCTCAACAAACCAGTCGTTATCCAAGGCTTTCTGATTCGTTTACGGTTTGGAATACGGTATAATTGAGTGTTGGAGTTTATTTTATTATTCAGTTCTGTAATTAGGCGAGAGTTGGGTACGTTAACGTCAGATCTTTCAAAGATGGAGCTAAAGCATAGTCCAACTTATCATAGATAATTGTCTGACTTACTGTTGTATTCGAGGAATCAACATGGTATTGCAATGTGAATACAACGCAATCATGATCAGTAATAGCTGTTTCAGCTACGAAGCAGAAGACCGGAAGCTTAATTTCGAGCGTGAGCTGGTCTAGGCAAGTTTTGCTATGCGTAGGCAGCTGATGGGCTGGTAAGATACCATGAGAAGCTAGTAAGTTTAAATAAACAGTAGCGTTAGGGTCTTTGGTCATGATATCCACGTTAATTGCCCTGATCACAATTACGTTTGTGTAATTTAAATTGCAAAGAAGTTCGTTGAGTGACTCAATAAAGGGATTGGTGTTCTTATAACCCGGGGGTCTGCAAATTGCTATTACGATAGTGTTATTATCAATCTTTTTTGCTACACAGTTAGCTTGACGTAAGCTGGGCTCAGATATTGAAATGCGCATATTCTTTTTGTGGTATACTATAACTCCTTCATTTTGTTTTGCGTTATTTAAAATAAAAATAGTTTCAAAAAACTAAAAAACACCCTTTCTATAGAAAACCAAACAAAAAATAGAAAATAAATTTTAATAAATTTGAAACAAAGCGTGGGGTGATTTTTACTATTGACAACAGGCACCCAACGCTTTTTTATTATCTTTAATTATTTTTTTAAAATTAGTTGTTAAATTAATTTAATTAATTGTCATCTGTCCTCGATATATCTACAAAGTTTGAACGAATTCTGACCGTTTAAAGTCAGTCAAAATCACGCCCAAAGGAGTCGGTTACAAACAAACATACAAACATACAAGTGAAGCTAATATAAAGCGTGTAAAAGGGAACATAAGGTGTGTGTGCCTCGTAGCTAGCACTTCGTAAGAATAACAAGGTCCCAGTCAGTTGCAGAGCGATCAAGGAGCGTTAAGAAGTTTGAAAAGTTATGATTAACACTACGATTATTTTGGTGAATGATTGGACAATCCTCTATCTCGCAAGCGGAAGAAGATGCAATGTCAAAGCTATCTAGTTCGCTATTTGTTGTGCTAATGTTATCGAACTTTGAATTTAGTAGTAAAAGTAGGTGACATCAAGAGTGACAAATATTTTGTGTTAATGGGTGTGAAAAACGATATATTTAAAGCTTGTTGGAGATCAATAGGTTTTAAAAGTACGGAGGAATTGGTACGAATGTCAGTTATAAAGTGTTTTGAGTGTTTTGATGATTGCTAGTAGGCCAGACTGTCCTATACAAAGGCACTGGGTGGCAAGAGCAATAGGAAAGCATAGTTGAATGCCTTTCTACTATTAAGTGTCGTTACTAACAATACTAATATAGACGTTAAGTACTTTTTTTTTTTGACCCCGGGAAAAAAGAAGGTACTTATAGGTTACAAAATGTTATAGGCAGTGTTATATAACAAATGTTCCTGAATAAAACACACACACTTACACGATATAAAATACTTGCTTCCAATTTAAACTCCCCCTCCCCCCGCGTGTGTGTGTGTGTGTGTGTAAATTTAATATCAAGTACGTTCTTTTACAGGCCCCTCAACCACCTCTACCATGGAACGGAGTACGACAAGCCACTAAACACGGCCCAAAATGTCCACACATGGACATATTTACTCTAAAAATGGTTGCTGGTAGTGAAGATTGTCTTTATCTTAATGTTTATACACCAAATCTGGACCCTAAGTCTCTGTTAGCTGTAATGGTCTTCATTCACGGCGGTGGCTACAAAAGTGATTCCGGTGATGTTGACCACTATGGACCTGACTTTCTTGTTAGTCATGGAGTAGTACTTGTTACTATTAACTACAGATTAGAAGCTTTGGGTTTCCTTTGTCTAAACACCAAGGAAGTACCAGGTAACAGTGGTATTAAGGATCAAGTGGCTGCAATGCGATGGGTGAAAGCCAATATTGCCAACTTTGGAGGTGATCCTGAAAACATTACACTTTTTGGCCAAAGTGCTGGAGGAGCATCCACTGCACTGCACATTTTATCTCCAATGTCAAAAGGACTTTTCAAGAGAGCTATACCAATGAGTGGTGTGCCCTTTTGTGACTGGTCAATTTCTTTTGCACCACAGAAAAGACCATACATTCTTGGAAAGCAACTTGGTAGAGAGACAAATAATCCAGACGAGCTTCTCGAATTCTTACAAGAAGTTCCAGTAGAAAAATTAATAGACACTAATCCTACTGTCATGTCTTTTGAAGATCGGAATAATAATGGAATGAAGATGTTTCATTTTACACCGGTTATTGAAAAAGATTTTGGTGAAGAACATTTTATAACCGAAGATATTTTAAAACTACTGAAAAAGGGAAAAGTAAATGATGTTGACGTCTTTTTTGGCCATAACAGCGAGGAAGCTTTAGATAGCCTTACGTTTATTGAAGAATCTCTTTTAAAAGAATATAACAGATACCCTGACTTGATTGTTCCTAGAAAACTCCAAATTCAATGTTCTGCGGATCAAATTTTAGAAATATCGGAGAAAGTTAAGGGGCACTACTTTAAAGACAGGCCTATCAATTTGGATTATATGAGGGAGTTTATTACTTTTTGCAATCACTCTTATTACGTGTACGATATTCACAGCTTTATATCTAAATTACCCACAAGTTGTAACAGTCGCCGGTATATGTATATATTTTCTTGTATATCAAATAGGAATATATATGGCAATCCAGGAAGAAAGTACGGCATCCGAGGTGCGGCGCATTTGGATGATTTAATGTACTTGTTTGACGGAAAAGAATACAATTTAAAGCTGGAGAAAAATACTAAAGAATATGAACTTGTGCAATTAGTGTGCACTGTTTTTACAAACTTTGCTAAATATGGGTGAGTCAACAAAAATTACTTCTATCTGTGAAAAGATAATCATATTTCTATTTAAGGTGTATAAAAAGATTTTGATTTAAATTTTTACCATGCTAGCATGTTTTTACATGACATATAATCAATTTTGGACTGCACGGATGGCGTAGTGGTTTAAGCGGTCTCGCCTCTTTATTCTGCACTGAGTGTAGTGGGTTCGATCCCCTTATGGGACAACTTTTTGTGTGATCTAGAAACTGTCATTCTGCTTCTGGGTGTTCTTTGTGTCCGCTTCCAGTTTTTTTTTTATGATAGAGGGGGCAGACGAGCACGGGCACCTAATCGAAAGTGACCATCGCCGCCCATGAATATCTGCAACTCAGGAGTCACAAACGCGTTACCGACGTTTTAGGAAGGAGTACCTACGCTCTTTTCTTGAAGGTTTGAAGGTCGTATCGGTCCCGAAATACCGCAGACGATAACCCGTTCCACAGATTGGTTGTTCAGGGCAAAAAGTTTCTATGTTTATGAAGTCAGCCGCGACACATGATATATCCCTAGTGCGGGAGTTGTTTAAGATTTTAGTTACGTGGGCGTATTAAAATCAGTTGTTCTTTTTATAATTTACAATAATTCATATCTTTACAGAAATCCAACGCCTGACTCTTCTCTTGGAGTTACTTGGCCAGAATATGACAACACTACAAAATCATATGTGGATATGGGAGATGCTCTAATCCCTGGCACAAACTCGAATGCAGAAGTGATCAAATTCTGGAAGAGTATATACACATCCGTGGGATCAGAATATTAGACTTATTTGGTAAAAAAAAAAAATTGTTCTTGATAGAGCCTGGACTAAGAAATGTAGTCATTTAAATTATTAAGGCTACATAATTATTAACACGCTTTTACAAATGAACTAAAAAATATATAATACAATTGTTGTTCTGAGTCTGGGTATTCTCTGTGTTCGTTTCATGTATGTTCGTAAAGTTCCCAGCGACACAGAATATATTCCTAGTGCGGGAGATGTTCTTTCAAATAATAAAAAAAAAACAACATCATCATCAACAGCCTGTAATAGTCCTCTACTGGACATGGGCCTCTCCTCAGAAAAGAGGTTTTGACCTACTATACCACGCTGGTCAGAAGGGTTAGTATAAGATTTGTTTCAAGTTTTCCTTCTCTTTGCAGTGTGGTTGTTCTACGTAGTTTACTCCCTTAGTCGGCTCATACGACATCCACGGGATAAATAGGGGTGGTGACATTCCGTATTCTTAATCCACCACCACACGGACTTCTGTATTTGGGTGTATTTTGTCTATACTATGCATGTATTTAGAAATATATAAGTATGTTTATCAGCAATCTGGTTACCATAGTACAGTTCTGTCTAGTTTGGAATCAGACTGCCGCATGTGGGATGGTGTGAAGTTATGATTAATATACAAACATTGTGACATAATACATGTAATACGGAAAAGGGAACATAGCTGTAAATTTAAGTTAGGATTATTAAGAATAGAAGACAGAAAGGTAGAAACGTGATGACGACGCCGACGTTGCTTAATAGGTAGTCATTTAAGATGTTCTCAGGATTCTAATATTTTCAAAAGCCGACATTAAAAGGGAAGCAACGGATAAAGACAGAGTTTGGTCTCAAACGGAAGACAATTTTAAAGAAGTTTAATTTTATTTCGTTTTCTGTCTTACATTTGTGGTGAAACTAATATCAAGACTATTGCTTTTTCTGCGTTAATCAAATAAGACAGAGAGCTCCCCTTATACCGTTTTCAGTTCCAGTATCGCATTTAAATTTTATTATTGTATATACAGCGTTTCGGATATAAAAGTATTAATAGGCAATTTGTTTTGAGCACTTAAAGAACTGTCAGCGTACTTGTGGCACGTCGGGGTACCAGAATTTACCTTTCTAGGGTACACCTGGTTCCTGGTACCCGAGACGGTGTGCGGTTTTTGGTCGGTTCGAGTCCGACATAACTATTGCACCGGTGGGTGGTATCCGACGGAATTTCGGCACAGAAAAGAAAAAAGTATAGGTATTTGTGCCTCTTATGCATAATAACCGGCCTGTTGGTCTAGTAGTTAGTGACCCTAAATGCTAAACCGGAGGTAGTGGGTTCAATTCCCACCCAGAACTGATAATTGTGTGATGAGCACGATCATTTGTTCTGTGTCTGGGTATAATTTATTTATACTATGCATGTATTTAGAAATATATAAGTACTCGGTATGTTTATCAGCAGTCTGGTTACCATAGCACAGGCTCTGCTTAGTTTGGGATCAGACTGCCGTGTGTGAGATGTGTGAAGTTATTATTATTATTATTTCATGTATAGAAGACAATTTAAGTATTATTACTCAACAAAAAGTAAATAACAGTGCTTACCAAACTATGGATATATATAATGGAGAATATAAGAATATCACTGTGACACGACACAATTTTACGCACAATTTGACTACATTTTCAATCAAATTTTGTCATGTGGAGCCAATCGTTCAATTGGAGGCGATTGGGTTGCCGGGGCCACCTGCCTTGATCATGGCAAATCAAATCAGTTCATGCTGAAGGTAATTGACCAATTTCATCATTTTATTCTGTATACTGAGTGGGTATGTTCCTGGGTTTTCTTACAGTGGCTTATTAACTCGTTTTCGACAGTTCGACAGTTATAAGACGTTATGAACTGGATGTTGCCTGGTGGTCGATTTTCAACCTAAAGAAACGTATTACTTTGTTTCTAGGACCAGTGTAACCTGAACTATCTTTGAATAGACAAGTCGGAATACATTGATTTGACTGCCTCGGTGACGCAGTGGTAGCGTATTCGACTGCTATGCTGAGGTCTCAGGTATGATTTCCGGATCGGATAGTTCGCAAACAATTATTTCGATGTTTGGGTGTTTTCTACGTATAATAGGTATGTATTAACAAACAAAAAAGTATATGAGTATTCTATCAGTCAATCTAGTTTTTATAGTACAAACTCAGCTTAGTTTGAAACTAGATGGCGTTGTGTGTTAGATGTCCGAAAACATTAAAACATTATACAGCACGAATAGTTTTATGTTCCCAATATTACATGCTGAAGTGCTGTATTTGTTAAAAAAGACATACATAGATTATATATATGTGGTGACGGATTACGAATACGGAGTGTCACCACTTTCATTCATCCCGTGGGTGTCGTAAGAGCCGCAAACTACACAGGAGAACAGCACTGCAAAGAGAAGCCAAACTTGACACAAACCCTTTTTTTTAAGTGTGGGAACCCCCTCTTGCCGTCACCCCACCGGGGTTTACGGCGGAATCGGACCGACTGAAACCACATGGTGTGCCACTCTGCGCCTGTAATAGGAGGCATCCGGGAACTGCTGTTGAAACTTGACACAAACCCTAAACCAACCCGTCTGGCCAGCGTGGCGTAGTACCCGTGTAGTATCCGTTTAGCTTTTCTGTAGTGATTGAATAATAAATATCCATTCATCCATCATTCGTTTTTACAGAAGCAAACGTAACATAACTTCATAATCTAAGAACTAAACAAAAAAAACTTCAGCCCCATCTATCTATAGGCGACCTGATGGCGTAGTGGTTTGTGTAACGGACTGCTAATCCAAAGGTCGCGGGTTCAATTCCCACTCAAGTTACACATTTGTGTGCATGAACATTTAATGTTTGTCTGGGTGTTTCTATGTATAAAATGTATGTATTTACAAAAAAAAAGTATATATGTATTTATATCAGTTGTCTAGTACCCATAATACAAGCTCTGCTTAGTTTGGGACTAGATGGCGTTGTGTGAATGTGGTAGAATTTTCATTACCTGCAAGTTTGCACAGGTTACCTGACTAGAAAGCGATATCTGTAGATCGTAAAGTCACAGCTGTGCAATAACCAGGGCTGGTAGCAATTAAGGTTGCTTACAATGTACACGAATATCGGAGCTTTAATATTATGGCGCCATTTTAGTTTTATTGATACTTTTGTAAGATTCAGCTGCGAAATTGAACGAGGCTTTTAAAGTTTCCTGGAAAATAAAAATTATGACCGTATCAAACGCTTAGATGTAAGACTTTGTCTCTCTCGTCAATTTAAAATATTTACTGTGGAGGAACGAGGTGGATCTCAGGCACTAAAGGAGGATCCTCCGATTTGCGAGGTAATCATTACAGGCAGGCCACAACCCAGCGATTGATGAGAGAATGATTTAAAAAAAATGGTACAACGTTCTATTTGGTCCGTTGGTATTATGGGTGAGTTTATTTGTACTAATATAATAGTAACAATAATAACTAATTATTGGAAAAAAGCTTAAAAACCGACTGCGTGAAAATGTATAGGTTCTTAACATTTACGGACAGACGATTTTAATTTTCTTAATAATAATCATATTAACCGACATCTGACACACGACGCCATCTAGTTTCAAACTAAGCAGAGATTGTACTAACCAAGTTTTGCTTAGTTAGTAGTTTGAGCTAGATTGACTGATAGACTAGTTATATACTTTTTTTTCGTAAATAAATACATATTATACACAAAAACTCCAAAACAAATATAATAGCATACGCTACCACTATACCACCGCCAGTTTTAACATTCATAAACCCAGTTTTTTAACCTTCATAATTAAGACGAATCTAACATGAATGACGACATGATGAATGACACCTTACAAGCCCAACCCCATCAAGCTGTTAAGACTACAGAACGTGCTAAAGAAATATCTGTCGCCATCGGGTAAAAAAAGAAAGCACACCTTTATAAAATTGAAAAAAATCTCTTCTCAGTTGAAGGCAAACATTCTGATTCAAGTTTCATTTAAACATGACTACAAAATCTCATTTAAATAAAAACCACACACACACAAACTCTAACGGTACAGAATAAATGTTTAGTATGGACTCCGTCTATTCTTGTCTCCTATTTCAAATAATTGTTTCGGGCTTGTATACTGATGGTAAGTGACTACCGCTGCCCATGGTCACCTACCACTCAAGCCTCACTACGAGCCCAAGAATTATAAGGAGAGATGGGGTTGGGCTTCAATAACCCACTAATTGAAAAGTAACGAAAAAAATATTTAACAGCGGTTTTCTGGAAGGCCGTCACGTCAAATCAAATCAAAGTTTATTTGCTATGAATGTAGGTACATCAAATTACAGATGGAATAGTTTTCTGCCTTATAATTAAACATGCAAAAATCTATAAAATTAGGGTCGATACAAATCAAATTAAATCTGGAATGGATAAGTACAAAGAAAAAAACGAACAATTAATATTTTGAAAACCAGCGCTGCGCTGAAAACCAGCGCTAGGTGCATTGCGCCTGCAAGCATTATGCTGAGTCGTGGTCCATATTGGTACAGATGTATTTTATACATGTCTCTGTTGTAAATATGTAACAATTCTGTAAAATGTGCCAATTAAAGTATTTTTCTTTCTTTCTTTCTTTCTTTCTTTCTTTCTTTAGATGTCAATGGTCCGGTCCACGTCAAATGAATATCTTTAAACTACCTACTGCCAACTTGGTACGTCACACACGACACACTGTAAGTCTTGTACAACAAGATCAATAAAATAAACTAAAGGCAAAATCGTTGTTACTATTTCAAAACCAAGTCATAGTTTACTTTGACCTTAGATTAAGTAGTGGTACTATACTCGCAATGTAGAGCAAATTATCTAAAGTAGTGCTCACTTAATGAATTGAATTTATATCTCTTCTTCCAAGAATACACAGACGAAATAAACTCTTGCTGGATAAACAAGATTATTTGTTT